ATAGAACATAGCATGTAGTTCCTCACCTCTGCACCTCTTCCCCCCTACACACATACACAAACACACACACACACACACACACACATACACAAACACACACACACACACATACATACACACATACACACGCACATACACACACACACACACGGCATAGGTATCAAGCCTATTTTACAGATAGGAAAACAGGAGGGATTCAATCTGAGTTTTTCTGATGTCCAAGTCTGGACATTATTGCCCCATGCTAGCTAGGGTGCTAATAACCATTCTACCAAGCAAAGCTAAATTCAAGGGAGAGAAAGCAAATGTCCAGTGAAGGTTCCAGGGGGAGGTGCAGCCCACTCAGGTATCCTGGTCATATGGAACAAAGATAGGCTATAAATAGCAGAGAAGTTGTTCTCCATGGAAAAAGATGATATTGAAGAGTCCTAAATCTAATCAAAGGCAGCAGGAAATACATTTCACTGTCTCTAGGCAAGTCTTGGGCACATTGAGATGATGGCTCTGATGGGAAATTAGCCCATTAAAGGTTGGGATTTAAGTGACAGTTAAAGGGGCAGAGCTGGGGATGAGGAGGGAAGGACCTGAAGGCATCTGTCCCAGAGAGGCCAAGGCTAGAACACAATTCACAGCAGTCATGGCCAGGCCTAAGAAATTGGGTAGTTAGCCCCAGGCAGGAACATTGCTGATGCAGCCAGGAGCTGACAGCTCCCCTGGGCTGGGAGCAGGGAGAAGTGAATTTGGTTACAGTGAGAATGAAGGTTCAGTGGTGGGAGTTAACGTTCCCTTAGCCCGGGAGACGGTGGGCTGCATCATCTGACTAAAGTGAGGACGGTGGTGCAGATCAGTAAACCTTGAGACTGCGGAGGCTGCGGTTAGTGGATCCCCTGAGTCTGGGGGTTCTGAGATGTAGAGGACCAAAGCCAAGAGGGAGTCTGTGCTAGGGCAACACCAATATGATCCTCCCAGGGGCTACTAGGCTGCCTATGGAGGAGAGAACCAGCCCAGGTCAGAAACGGAGCAGGTCAAAGCTGCGGAGCTAATCAGTCTGGCGTCTGGGGCAAAAGCGGCTGCTGTTCTGTGTGTATATGGGAGTGGGAGGGTGGCGTATAGAGGGAGCTAATGTCCCTGGGCATAGGTAGCTAACATTCCCACGTACAGGGATTCAAGGGAGCTGAATCTGCTCATGACAATGACCTAATGTCCCCACGGCGGATGGTGGAGAGCTTAATATTCCTACAGTGTAAAGCAAATGGCCGTGTTCCTCTAGCCAAGAACTAGTGTCCCCACGGCGCAGGGTTGGCATTTTCATAAAAGGGGGAGTTGATGCTTAGCCCCGTGGATAGAGATAGTGATGTAGATCTAGCTATGGGGGAAAGCTACTGCTTCCATGGCGGAGAGTTCCCATTTCTGAGGGGGAAGCCAGTGTTCTCATAGCTGAGAAGCTAACATCTCCACAGTGGGATGTTACAGAGATCTGTCTTCTATGGGCTAAGGTTGTGTCCCCCTGCTCTTCCACCAGAAGGAGATCTCCCTGAAGGCAGGGACTGTTTTTGTCTTTCTTTGTATTCTCAGTACTTAGCGCCCAGATGATCACAGGGAGAACCTAATGAAGGCTTTTGGACTGATTTACCATTTGCATTCAGGGACTGCTAATGCTCCCAGTCTGAGCAGCAAGGTGAGCTGTGCCTGCCCACACGGGAGAGCTGATATCTCTGTGGTATAGAGCTAATATTCCTTCAGTAGAACAAATGATGCCACGGGTAGGGAGCCAACATTCCCATGTTTGCATGAGTGGCTGACGTTCCCAACGGGAGAAGCTGCATCTGCCCAACCCTGGCCAGTAAATGTTCCTAAAACACAGATGTGCCTTGGGTACAGGGGGCCCTACCACACCAGCTACCAGATCAAATGTCCTCACAGAACAATAACTAATGTTCCCATGGCGGGGTGGTTGTCACGTTTTTAAGGTGGAGCCTGGCAAAGAGGCATGACAGATAGCTCTCGGTGGAGAGTGACCTTGGGAGTGATGGCCCCAAAGACCAGGACAATGCCCCTGGCTACTGCCTCCTAAGCAGGGAAAGGGAGGGTATGCCTAGTAAATAATGCACCTGAAATGTTTGTGAACTAGAGGCTTGGGAGGCCTTGAGGACTGGTTGAGGCTTGTTGAGACAGGCCTTCCCCTCCCCCCTTCACCACGTCCCCTCCTGGTAAGAGCTCATGGACCTTGGGAGGCAGCTGGTGGGAGCAGCCCTTCCCAAGGTCAGGCCTTCTTCCTTACTCCCTTCCCTTGTTCTTCTGGGCCAACCATATGCTGAGGAGTCTGGGTCACTCCTCCTAGCTACTCTGAGCTCCTTCCAGGAGAAGGCTAGGACCCAGGGCTTCTATGCCTGGGTGCCAGCAGGGTGGGGCAAGGCCCCTAGACTTGGATACAGAGGGGCCCTACCAGGACAGCTATTAGGCCAGTCTTTGGCATGGGAGCGGTTAACTGAGTTTGTCATCAGAAGCACTGGACCCTTCGGCTGTTTCATTTCCCCTGCTCACTCTGATAATGAGATTTCCCAGTAGCTCTGGGAAAGGCAACAGCGTGTGCGCCTCTGGCCATAAGTGCCCTTGATCAAACGAACAGTATCCCATGGTCCCATAGACGCAGGAGTGGGAAGGGAGCTTAGCACTCATCATTTACAGAGGAGTGAGGGCCAGAGAGGGAAGGGGACTGAGTCCCAAGGTCTGGGGAAATCAGAAACTCACTTCACAGAATAGGAAGAACTAAGTGACAGTCCGGTATAGTGGACAGAAGGCTGGACTTGGGAGGCAGAAAGCCCAGGGTTCAAAATCTGCCTCAGATGTGTACCACATGGCCCTGGCCTGGCTTTAGATGTATGTGGATGTCTGTGATGTTGAGAAGGGGCCAGACTGATTCTGTGTGGACCCAGACGACACAGCCAGGAACAATGAACAGAGACAGTAAAGGGGCAGCTATTTAGGCTCTGCGGATTGGACTCCCCTGGCTGGGGGTGTTGTAGACTGGGTTCTAGCCCAGGCAAGGAGTTTAGCAACCCTCTGAGGTCTGTCTAGCTCAGATGCTATGAGGGTCATGATCGAGTGGGTGATGCTACAGAGAGAAAAGACCACGGTGGGCATAGTGGGATGTCATCATCCCCAGGAGACACACAAGAACCATGAATGGCAGTACCCCAACACTCACCAGGGCACTGGATCCCTTACTTAGCACCGTGCCTGGCATACAGTAGGTGCTTAATAAATGTTTCTTGACTGGCCTGACAGACACCCACAAACATCTGGTGGGCTATCACAGCTCCATACCTCGGCTCAGGCCATTGCTTGTGCTGGCAATGCCTTTCCACTCCCTCTCCACCCATTTGCTAAATTTCTACCCATCCTTTAAGTCCCAGGTCAAGGGCCTCTTCTTCCAGGGAGCCTTCCTGTCAGCACAGTTGACAATGACCCTGCCCTTTGCTTGTGACTCAGCACTTCATTATTTTAATTTAATATGCACTCATTATTTATGTCATTTAATATGCACTCAAATGCACTCATTACTTTGAACCGGAGCTATCTGGATTGGTGTCTTGGTCCTCAGCTAGACTGTGGAGGTCAGAGACTACATCTTCTCTAAACCTAGTGCAAAGAAACGTGGGTTGCAGGCACTGGAAGCATTTTATAAATGCTTGCCTCTCTTTCAGGGACAGGATCACATAGGATCACATGACTGAGCTCAAAGGCCATCGAGTCCAACCCCCTCCTTTTACATAGAGGAAACTGAGGGCTGGACTTGCCCCAGGTCACCCAGTGGCAGGGTTTGAACCCAGGTCCTCTGCTTCCAAAGTCTTTGATCCTTACACTGAACCCAAAGTCTTCCCTCCAAGGAAGCATGGGCTGCTGGGAAAAGTGCAGGCCTTGAAGATAAAGAGACTGAATCACAGAGTCTGGGAGGACCAGCTTTAGTGGCTGGTCAAAGCCTTGTGCCTTGATGTCCCCAGGGAAGGGGGAAGCCACCGTTGCCACTCTGGGACCAGTGTCTTCGGCCTGACGTTCAGCCTCAGGTGGCCCCTTGACGGTTCCCTCCCATTCCTCCTCGATGTACCCTCTGGGCATCAAGCATCATGGGACTCTTCCCTCTTCTCAGTGACAGCCCTTGATGGATCTGAAGACAGTCAGCACATGCCCCCTGAGTCTCCTCCAAACTGAATGCACCTGGGTCCTGCAACTGAATTTTAACTCCACATCTGCCACTGACTCAGTATGGGATTTAGGACAAGGCCTTAAGGGTGGAAGAAGAGCAAGGGCCCTGGAAAGAGTCAGGAATCCTCAGCAAAAATGGTATCTGGTCTAGAGACAGAGGAGAGGATCTGGGTATGAACTCCAGCTCTGCCAGTTAGGACCTATGTGGCTTAATCTCTCTGGGTCTCAGTTTCCTCAACTGAAAAATGAGGGGCTTGGACTAGATGACCCTTAAGGACCCTTCCAGTTCCAGATCCAATATTGGATGACCCCAAGCAAGTCACTTCACGCATCTGTAAAATGGGCACAATAATACCTGCAGCAGTTGCTTCCTAGGGTGCTTGGGAGGACTGAATGAGATAATGGAAGAACTTTGTAGACCTCAAAAAGTTAAAAAATTGGACCAGATTTTGACAATGCAGGTGCTAATGCAGTGAAAAAAAACTCCTTCCACCCATGCAGAGCAGTACCCACTATGATTTGTTGTCATGGAGAGCTAGCCGGGCACTGAGAGGACAAATGACCAAGGTGACCATGCCAGAATGCATCAGAGGTGGATTTGAACCCTGCCTCTGAGGCCAGCTCTTTATCCACTTCCATCTGTCATTGCCAGAGTCTTCATCTGACAAATGGGGGCAGCAATCCCTGCCCTGGGGGCCTCCAAGGACCCAGTAAGATCAAAGCTCATAGGTTGGAGATGACCACCATCCTCAGCTTCAGAGGCTGGCTCTGCCCCCTAGGGTGGGGTCACCTACCTGTATCATGTACAGCTGGGCGATGCGATACTCCTCCACACTCATTGGAAGAGGAATGCGGTATTCCTTTATAAGCATCTTGAAGTCCAAGCCTTCCCGTCTCAAGGGAACTGCAACCTGGGGACTTCTCGTGAAGATTCCTTAAAGAATCACAACGGAATTCATCGAGGACTCCTGCACAGGGGAGAGAAGAGGACCGGATCACTTTCTGATTTGGGGGTAGGGGTGGGGGACAAGGGTTGCTTGCAGTGGAAAAGCAACCCCAAGCAAGTCATCAACTTCTTTGTGACACTCAATTTCTGCAACAAGTGGAGACAAAATACTCAAGTCATGGTGCTAGGAGCTGGGGAAGACAGTGTGGTGTAATGGATAGAAAGTCCAAAAGTCTTGGGTTCAAGTCCAGCATTTTGACACATACTGGACATGTGACCCCGGGCAACTCATTTAACCTCTGTTACTCCAAGGCAACTCTAAGAGGATAGGGGGGCAAAGCAGATGCCAACTGGCATTGGTAGAGAGAGCTTCCTCTACCAATGCAGGTTGACAGCCTATTGTCATAGAGAGTTGCCTGAGGCAAAGACAAGTTACTTGAGTTGTCCAGCATCAGTGAGTGTGAGAGGTAGATCTGGAGCCCAGGTCTTCCTGAAGCTAAGAATGGGAGCTTTCCAGCCACTAGCTACCCTCCCGGGAAGTTGTGAGGGGGAGGATGTAGACATGTAAATAGATAAGTATATGCAAGATTAGTTGGAAAGAATCCCAGCAGGAAGGGAGATCAGGAAAGGAGGTAGTCTATGAGCTGTACTTTGAAAGAAGGAATTTCTAAGAAGTGCAGGGAAAGGAGGGGCATTCTAGGTGTGGGGGGCAGCCTGGGAGGCAAATTGGTTCATGGGAACAGCCAGGAAGTCAGAGTAACTAAGCCTAGATGCCAGAACCAAATTCCATCTTGCTCCTGCCATCTATTACATCTTCATGAGAAAGCTACAGGAGTGGTGTGGCTATACAGGAAGCTCTAAGCTTTGGGGAAGCAGATACATGGAGATAACTTGAGGAAAGATAAATAGATGCAGAAACAAAAGTAATACTGTATTTACTAGAGACTTCCAGTGCAGAAAGAAGACAAAGATGATGAGTTTGGGGAGATGGATCGCAAGTTAAGCACAAAGACACAATATTGTCACAAAAGAAAGCTTCAATTATCTGGACTTCTCCTGGAGTTCTCAGTGTGGGCCAAAAGCAAGATGGAGATAGACAAGTAGAAGAAACTGCCAAGGTGAGAAAATTCCCTCTACCAATACAGATCAATCAGCACCTTCTCTGCAGATAATAGTCTGCAGGAGTCTGTGAACTTTTTTTTTCTCAATTCTAATAATTGTATTTCAACATAATTGTTTTCCTTATGTATTTTATTTTTGCATTTAAAAACAATTCTGCCTGAGAAAGCAGTACTTGGAATAAAAAAGGTTAAGAGAGTTGCCTAGAGCACTGAGGTCTAAAAATAATAATAAAAATAATAACAATAACAACAACAACATTTATATAGCACTTTAAGGTTTGAAAAGTGCTTTTTTGGTCCTCAAAAAGTCCTTGGAGAGGGCAGCTAGGTGGCATAGTGGATAGAGCACCAGCTCTCGAGTCAGGAGGACCTGAATTCAAATCCAGCCTCAGACCAAACACTTGACATTTACTAGCTGTGTGACCCTGGGCAAGTCACTTAACCCCAATTGCCTAAAAATTAAAAAAAAAGTCCTTGGAGAAAGGTACTATTATCATCTCCATTTTATGGATGTGGCAACTGAAGCTAAGAAAGGGTAACTGACCTGCCCAGGGTCACATAGCTACTTAGCACCTAAGGTTAGTTTTAAATCCAGGTCTTCCTGACTGTAGGTCCAGCCCTCTTATCCAGTGCCCCATCTACCCAGAGTCACACAGTCAATGTGTGTCAGAGATAAGACCAGAACCCAGGTCTTGAAGACTCTGAGAAGTTAGCTCTCTGTCTAGGACATGCTGCTATTTTGCCAAAACTAGGGATTTCTTTTTTAAATCCACCCATTCAACAGAGGAAGAATATTTTAGTTTGCAAAACCAAGGGAGGGAAATGCAAGTATTGTTAGTCCCATTTTCCAGATTAAGAAATCAGAGTTCTAAGAGGCAAAAGTAGGAAATTTTGCCATGGTCCCATTGCTGGTAAAGCATCAAAGTTGGGATGTGAACCCAAACGTCCAGCCCAGGGCTCCTTCCACAACAAGGCGCAGCTAAGGTAGAGGGCAGTCAGAGAAAGGACTTGCCAAGCTCCGGGGAGTTCAGCTTCATTGCTAAAAATGGTGGATGCTTTTCTCCCATTTTCCTACATCCCTCCACCCTGTTGGTGTGTGTTGGGACAGGTGAATGATGGCTCGCACAAGCTCAGCTTTGTCTCCACAGAAGATGGGCTGCCAAAACAAGTATAATTACTCAGATTGAATTCATAGCCCATTGTCCTGGGCATGGGCATGGGGAAGGTGAGAGAGAGAAGGGCAGGCCTCAGAAAGGTCTGAGACCAGGCCACCTGCTCAGGCTAACCTTAGGGTAGAGCCTGCCTGCCTTTGAGAGGGGGAAAAGCTGCTTTGTGGTTACAAAGCAGGCTCCCATTCCTTGGGTTACTTAGTGTGTAAAAAAGATAATGATACACCACCGCCCTCCCAAAGATCTGTCTAATAATGGATAAAGAGCTGGCTGGGAGCCAGTCGGCAAGTAGAGTCCTGCTTCTGACACATGGCCACTGGGTAACCCTGGGGAAATCACTGAACCCCCCAGTGATCTGGGCAACCCAGCAAAGGCTCCCAGCTGGAGATCTGCCCTGGTAGAGTGTCCTTACAAGGGAGCTCCTGACAGCACCAAAATCACCCGAGCCCTAAAATGGTCTAAATAACAAAAATTTATTAAGCACCTGATGTGTGCTTCGTGTCTCAGCTTGATCTCACCATAGCCAAGAATCCTTTTCAGATCCCCCTCAGGGTTAATGCCTTCTCTCTGCACATTCTCTAATTTAGCCTATCTGTAGCTTGTTTGTAAGCTCTCTCCTCTACTAGACAGTGAGCTCCTCAAGAGAAGGCATTGCCCTTTGCCTTTTTTTGTATCCCTAGCACTTATCACAGTGCCTGACACATAATAGCCCTTCCTCTCTCCCTCTTTTTTCCTTTCTCTCTTCCTTCCTTCCTTTCATCTTTCTTCCCTTTCTCCTTTCCTTCCTTCTTCCCTCCCTCCCTTCCCTTTCTCCCTTCTTTCCTTCTTCCCTTCCTTCCTCCTTCCCTCTCTCTCTCCACCTCCCACCTTACACTGTGAATTCACTGAGGATACAGTCTTTTGCCTTTCTTTGCATCCTCATCCCTTAGCGCAGTGCCTGGCACACAGTAGGTGTTTAATACTGCTTGTTCACTCTGTGCCAGGAACTATGTGAGACACTGGAGTTTCAAAGACCAATGGGAAAGAGTTCCTACCCTCAAGGAGTTTACATTTTATTGGGGGAGGGACAGAGGACAACATGAACACGTATAAGTAATTATGAAATAATGAGGCACGAAGTATAAGAGCACAAATAAGAGGTTTTTGGGTTGGGGGGGAACTGAGCACTGGTCACTGGGGGTCATCAGGAAAGGGGTCACGCAAGAAATGGCATTGATCTGAGCTTTGAGAGGTGGAGGTCAGGAGGCAGCCAGCTGTCCCAGGCTTGTGCCAACATGGGAGAAGCATCATGTAGGAGGAATGGTCAGAAAGTCAGTGTGGCTGAACTTGAGAGGGTAGAGAAGGGAACTAGAAGGGGGCAGAACCTACAGAAATAAGAAAGTGAGAGCTCTCTTGTACTCTGTGGGGTCTGTGCATGCCACTCCTGGGTAGGCTTTAGCAAGGAATCCAGTGGGGCACCTTGGATGGCAATGGCCCATGGGTTTGGGCCTCAGGCAGAAGGGATGAAAGAACAAGGGATATATAGTCCTAGAGATGGGACAATCACAGGATTACAGATTCAGAGTTTGGAGGGGAAGGGAATGGTGGGATACTTTGGGGAAAGTAGGTGATCAAAGTATAAAACATGAATAAAAATTAAAAGAATAAATGTATCTTTATTTTTCAAGTCAAATCTAGCATCACCTGAGAGAGAGGTTGACTGATTCCTCCAGAGAAAGAAGCCTACTTGTTCTCTTTCCCATTTCTCCTGCCTTTCTAGCTTTTCCCTGTGTATTCTTCTCATTCTAACTAATATTATAATTACTCAAGTACACTTTGTGAGTTCCTTGGAGGTAGGAACTATGTCCTTTTTGCTTTGAGCTTCAAATACACTGGAGTCTAGTAAATATCTGCTAAATTGGGAGGGGAGACAAAAAAAGTCTAAAGTTGGAAGGAACCTGAGAGTCCATCTGGCCTAATCTAGCCCATTTTCTGAGGCTAGCCCCTCTCTGAGGCTCAGAGAGGTTAAAGGACATTCCCATAGTCAAACAAAGCAGCAAATGGCAGGGATGGAATCCAAATTAGGTCAGAGGATTATGAATTTAGAGCTAGAAGGGACATTAGAAATCAGTCCAACTACCTTATTTTAGAGAAAAGGAAAACTGAGGTGCAAAGAGGTGACCTTGCCCAAGGTCATAAGTAAAGTGGCAAGACCCGAATCTGAACCCAGGTCCTCTGACTCCAAATCCAAGGACCTTCGCATTGTGCTGGTTGATGACAGCTGTCTTCAAGCCTTTTAAGGGCTGGCATGTGGAGGTGGGGTAAGTCTGGCTCCTGCTCAGTGCCAGAGGGCAGGACCAGGAGAATGGGGATGAGGGGGGTAGGAATTGCAGAAAAATGAGCTGTCCCAGTACAGAACGGGCTGCCTCGGGAGGTGGGGAGCTCCCCTTGCTTGGAGTGCTTCCAGCAGAGGCTGGTCAGACAACTCCTTGTTGGTTGTGTTACAGGGAGGATTCTTTTAGGATTGGCCCACATGGCTGTTGAGGTGCCTCCCAGCTCTACACTGTGTTTCTTTAACAATTGATGCTCTGTATTTCAAAGGAGGGATTGAGAAATATGGGCTGGAGCAAGCAGGAAGGGCTTCATGGAAAGGGGGGGAATGTGAGCCAGGCCCAGAAGGCTAGTCCTAGGGCAAACATGTGTTCTTGGATTTGGGGATGAGCTGAATCTCCTGCAAATGCCACACATGGCAG